TATGTTATTAGGTCTACACAGTGTCTCTCTCTCTCACAGTTAGTGTTAAATCCATTAGAAAGACAAAATCACAACATTAAGACTTGGAGGCTATTAATGCAAGGACTATTTCATTGTTACTCTTATAAGATCATGCCTATGTTACTCTTAGATCATGAAGGCATTCCTCATTTCATTTTGCTTTCCAAAGAGTGTTCCGAAGCAGGATTTTGCCCATATGCTTCAAATGAGCTCTTCTTTTATAGTTGCTATCATATCCAAAGAAAAGCTAGGAAGGGGATTGTCCTAATTGGTTAAAAAATCCAATTTTCCCTTTCATTTCTGGGACATTGATGGTGGATTGTATTTTTTTAAAATGCCAATAATGTAGATAGAAGTTATTCGTGCTTAATGAAGTTCTGTTTCCTCAATGGTTAATGTTTAGCTGACGTTTTTGTCATTGGAGGACAAAGTTTATGGCATCAGCATTCATGCTGTTAAATAGGAAGGCATTGATGTAACCTTGTTTGTCTTGGATCATAAGAAATTAGATTCCCACTAAGGTTCCTTCTCAGTCAGAAGCGTGAAGAGTACTATCCAACTTTAATTCCCAGAAAGCTAATGTTTGAAAAACATTGAAACACGAATATGCTCTCTAAAACTGCCAGCATCAACTATGAAAGATATTTGTTGATATCTGTTGATGTCGGTTGATAACCTTTCTAGCTTGTAGTTCCATCGAGTGGACCAGAAGGGATATAAATCTGATGGAGGAATGATTGCAATATGCCCATATCCCATTTGCTTCTCTTTCTCCTGATGCGGTTGATCGATCCATGGCTCAAGCTTACGTACTTCGCTCGCTGGCTTCAACCTTGGACTCAGGCTTCCACTCAGACGTCAGAACGTTCAGGACTTCGGCACGACACTCATGGCTAGGAACTTGACTTCAAGTATCTAAGGGAGGTCTTGACTATGCCAAGGGCAAGAGCCTAAAGCAAAGGCAATGATCCACGTCGAGACCCGTCGAGCGAGCGCAATGCTCTCTAAAACTACTAGCATCAACTATGAAAGATATTTGTTGATGTCGGTTGATAACCTTACTAGCTTGTAGTTCCATGACAATTATTTGCTTGATCTCTGATTCATGCAAGCTTGTGGAATGAAAAGATTTCCTTTGCTAATGAAGGACCATTCATCGACACGACCATAGATGCACATGGATAGTCATTCTCCTCTTTCTTGTGGGATCCTCTTTAGTTTCTCTTCCTTCCTGAACTTTCTCAATTCTTATCTCGCTCCACATTCATCCTCGAGATTTTCATGTCATTAATATCATTTATATAAAAGAGCAAAATCTATTCAAGATCAACTCGACAAGCTCGTCACCTGGACGAGTAGTTATCCTCCTTCCATTATTTTACCCCTTATTTTGTTTCTCTTGAGTCACTTCCATCTGGATAGTTTTGGAGACAATATCACACACTCAAACCTCTTAAGGGTCCTAGAGGATTACTGATTCCCTAGCTGAAAAGAGCACCTGCTAGCACAACCACCTGCCATTGCATGAATGACTGGTAAGAAATGCTGGAAAGCAGGATCCCCTCCAGAAAACAAACATCAACCATGCTTATTCAGTAAAGATGAAAATCTGGAAATGGGCTAGGCTTTCTTCAAAAGAATTCTCCTTCTCTTTTAAGTTCAATGTAACAAGAATCTTACACTTATATGAGCATTCAATCATTTGATTCACCTCCCTCCAATTATTGAATTGGAGTGATTAGTTCGAAACTAGATGGGAAAGGTGGCGAAAACCTGCTCTTTGCTCCCCTTAATCCTTCATAATCTATTTAGGTGGTACCTTGCCTAGCTCTTAGTTCTGAGAAACATTGAAGAACTTCTAATGGGAAATAGAGAAAGCAAATGCTTGATTTTTATTAGATATTGTCATAAGTGAATTAGTCTGGGGGTTAAATGTTGATGAGTACATGGCTACAGCACTAGGACCTCATCTCAAGTTTTGAGACTTTATAAACAGATCAAATGGTAGGATATTCAAACTTACCCTACTCAGGCAACTATGGCTTGATAGTTTGCTTTATTTCTACCATTTTGAAACAATGATCATTTCATTTTTCTAGTTTTGTAAGGTTGGAGTTCAATTCTTGCTGATGTTTTTTTCCCTCAAAACTTGTGTGTGATGTTAGCATTACAATTTAAGGCTAGCTTTGATATTTCTAATGAAATCTTTTCTCCTTGGGCTCTCAAATGATTGTGCAGATTAGAAGAAGCAACAGGTTTGGCTTTCAGGTTTGTCATTGGAAGGACCAATGATCCAAAGAAAATGTCAGATCTTAGAAAGGAGATTGAAGAATATGATGATTTCTTGCTATTGGATGTTGAGGAGGAATATAGCAAGCTTCCCTATAAAACGTGAGCTTTGGTGTTTCTGATATCAATTCCATATCTGCTACTTCTATTTGGTTATTTAGGAGGAATCCTAACTGTCTTGTTTTCTTGTCCCTTTAGATTGGCATTTTTTAAAGCTGCTTATAGACTCTTCGACTCTGATTTCTATGTTAAAGCTGATGATGACATTTACTTGAGACCAGGTATCCATTCTAAATGATATTGTTGGGCTTGTTTTGTCATTTTAATCTTCTGCGGCATTTGCTCATTTTGTAAGCTTCTATTTGTTTTTCTTGCCTTCATTGAGGTAATTGTAAATTCCAATGTTCTTTCATGTGTCCCTAGATCGCCTTACGTTGCTTTTGGCAAAGGAGAGGACTAACCCTCGTACATACCTTGGATGCATGAAAAAGGGTCCTGTTTTCACTGATCCTAAACTCAAATGGTTGGTATTGATCTTTTGTCTTCAAGTTGTAAAATTTTTCTCTATCTTTTACCTAAAACATCTGGAGTCCTTTTCTTATCCTGATCATAATATGCTATCTCTGCATTGTATTTCTGGTTCATGGAAGCTACACTTTAGCTCAGTCGGAATAATATATTGTAATGTGTACCGTCAATGCAGGTATGAGCCTTTGGCACCTTTGCTTGGGAAGGAGTACTTCTTACATGCCTATGGTCCTATTTATGCTCTTTCTTCTGAAGTAGTTGCCAGCTTGGTTGCTCTAAAAAATGACAGGCGCGTATCTTTTGGGGGCGGGGAGGCTAGAATAAATTTTATTGTACAATCACAGATATACTGCAGATTTTCTCATATTTGTCTCTCACATTTATCTAAAAGTGTGCTTGTGTCACCCATTTGTTCATAACTAATATTCAACTGTTTTCTCTGTCTCAAAAAAATATTCAACTGGTGATTTGAACTAAAAATTCGATTCCCCAAATATTTGATAAAGATGTCCCATACACATTACTTAGATCTTAATGTGCTTTGTTATTTTGAAAGAAATGTTGTCCCTAACCACCTTTGACAAATTAATTCGCGGTTTACTTCATATGATTAAGCAATTGGAGTCTTCATATTATATTAAATGAGATTTTATACACATGCATAATATTTCCAAGTATTGATTTTTGTTAGAGCTAGTTAGTCCTCATGTTGTATTCTCTTAACCTACTCAACATTTTTGGTCAGTTGATGTCCTTGTTTTGCAATATAGTAATTTTTTTGCTTAGGGGTGTTTTTGGTAATTAATAAATAATAAAGTAGAAATTCATAATAGTAACAAATATGTTCAATGACTATTATGGAGAATGACATCACCGGCATAGGATATGACATCTTGCACAAGACATAATTACTCTCTAACAACCTACGAAATGTCATTGTTCTCTCCTAAAAATATCTATTTTAGTCCTCACTGATGACAAAAAAGGCCATCGCTCATTTTTTTTTTTTTAAGATGCAAGGGTAATGAGTGTCTAATGAATGTTGAATGGATTGAGGGGTACTCCAAACCTACTTTTTTATGGTGACTAGTATTTTTTGATTTGAAATGTTAATGTATGATATGTACATATATAGGCCTCAAAATGGACACAATGTAATTATTGAATTACAAAAAGTGACCGCATGAATTACTAAGGGAGCTGGGGTTTGGTTCTCCTATCCTTACCACAAACAAGTCTCTTTTCACCCACTCTCTCTTATCTAAAAAATCTGTATAGTGTATATGCATTGGACCCACATCATGTGTGTAAAAGAGACCTCAAAATTTGTACAGTTGCCAAAAATTTCATTGAACAAATGAAGTGCTCCCCATGGGCACCTCTTTTCTTTTGTAGCCCAATAGATCACGCTCTTCGAATCTCCTTCGGCAAAGACCCTAGCGGCTTGGTGTAGCGTATTACCTGCTAGCAAAGTATCACCTCTGGTTCGCTAGAATCATGTGGTCCTGCTGGACCTCAGAAGTGGAGTAGAATGGATCCCTTGTGTGATCTGAAATGTCTCAAATACTTGCCTCCCTATGTTCCACAGAGAAACACCATTGGGGTTTAAGTTTCTAGTGGTTATGGTAGGCGGTTGCCCATTGAAATGGAGTCTTACCCGAAGGATATTACTCTAGAACCTGGGCTATTGTTCTCCATTTAAAGTTCCAGATCTGCAGCGGATATTCCCCAAATTCTTTCCTAGCATTAACCTAGGCGAAATCTGAAGAATTAATCTTATTCTTGAAGTTAAATTCTTTTATTCATTTTCCTTCAAACATCTTCGGTTCTGCTCAGACAGATGACTGTAAGATAGCTGCCGTTTCAATTTTCCACATTGTATGTCCCTTCACAGGTAATGGTGGTGCGAACCACTGTTGAGAACGCTCTTCAACTGAGCCCGAGCAAGCCTAAGGGAGCCCAGTGTGCTGAGTTTAGTGGGCATGTAGGAGCAAGCGGTTAACTGACTCTCTCAGAGTGTAGCTATCCGGAATGGCCAACCCTGATATGTTGCAAGCAGTTTCTTGAGCACAGCCAAGCACAATAATCTATGTGGGACTGGTATGTGCCTTACTTCCCTAACCATCTCTGGGTGTTTCTGAGATTAGTGAAGTACTTGAAGGACTTGACGAATTTCTCATTGAAAGTAGGATTTTATCCTCCCCACTCCTAAGCAAGTAAGCTTGCCACAAACAACTCAGTGATGATGATAGCTAGCTGATCTCTGAGTCTGAGTTCCTTCTAAATTTTGGGCGCCCGATCTTCTCACCATCCAGCTCTTCTACATAATCTGAGATGGCTGTATTCCGTTTTGTGGCAATCTCTACTACGTAGGGGAAGTGCCTTTCTTGCGGTTCACTGCCCAACTACAAGATTATAGCAGAATCAAAATCTTGTCTTATCTTGAATCTAATGCCATTAATATGGAATTTGCTCCAGAGACCTAGAGACCCTATGGAATTTGCTCGGAGGGATAGCAAGCCAACTGAAATCATCCGAATCAGATTTGTGTGTGAATACTAGTCAGTGTTCAGGATCATTTTTCTGTATTCTGTATGTCCTGAATGTATTTGAATAATTTCATGCAATGGTTTCATGGTAATATAATGAAACTGTACCTTTAAAAACCATACGAAGCATTTGTTTGAATCCAACTTCTATACATACACTCTTTTCATCCCCACAAACAATTTAAAAAAAAAAGATTAAAAAAGCAATCTGAAAGTGTTCTTTCGCCATAATGAATGTAAGCCGTCCATTTGATGGGACTTGGCCTGGGGTGGATTTTTTTACCCCAAATTTTGTAGATGGCCTTGTCATCATCATATGAATAATTTCAATAATTTTACCCCAAATTGTAAAATGTAGAATCCTTTTTTGTTTTAATATTGTATTTATACATGCATTTCAAACATTTTATAATAATTAGGACACACAATTATGCAACACAATTACGCAAAGATATATTTATTAAAAATCGTTCAAAAAAATGTTTGCGGCATTATGAGGAATATCAAGGTGGATTATGACTTCATACTGAGAAACTTTAGTTCTGGAATGATCTAGTTTTCCTAATATGGATTGATCAGCTCATTGAAAATCTGTTTGCTCTGGTCACATTTGTGATTAGCCTTTAGGGTAGTGTTACACAGACTGAATGCGTGTCTGGTGTTTGACATCTGTCACTGATTTGAGCACTTCATCTTCAACTTCTGAGACACAGATTGACACGGCCATACGTTATTTAACATAAATTTTTTCTAAATAATGAAAAATTACAATGGTGTAAAAATATGACAATTTATCCGAAAAACCAAAATTTTATAGAACATAATGAATTATACAAGTATTTATTTTAATACGGGGTTTCTAAAATCTGAATCTCAGGTGGCAATTCACACTCTCTCTTTCCTTGCAACCTTTATTCTGCAACTCTTAACTTGCAAACCTTAACCAATCTTAAATGCAAATTGCTCTATCTTTTTCTGCACATCTTAAATCTGCATTTACAAGTAGCAAACCTAATCAATCTCCATTCAAACCCACTTGAGCCTTGTCTTTTTTGTACAGTATTTTATCTGCCACTCAAGCACAAAACTTCAATGATCTTTATCCACAGTAGTAGTCTATACAAAAGCCTTAACTGATCCGTATTGAAACTGCTCAATCATTAGATCATCCTTACATGACCTTTATTTGTGTAACTTCAATCAATGAGCCAAACTAAACCTCATTTAAATGGCTCAATCCGAAACATCATTGTTTAAGACTCTCATCATCCACAATCAGACCCTGCTTATCTACTATCTCAGGCGACAAGTCCTAGCTGAGTTTTACCAGAACTTCTTCTCATAAGAAACCATACCTATTGCCTATCTATGGTGTTTTTCCAAAACTCATAGGCCCATTGAACTTTTTTAAATGACATGCTTTTTAAAACTATACTGTCATTCTGAGTTTTTTAAATGGCTATATGGAAGTAGATTCAAAATGCTTAAATGCATAGGCGACATGATCCTCCAATGTATTGAGACCCAATTTTAGTAACTCAATATTTTGGATTATGCAACAGTCCTGTGTTGGGCAGCGTTGATATGCGACAATAGAGTGAAAATGGAATGTCTGTGCAACAGTCCTGTTTTAATCATTTGTTTGTAGGTGGATATTTTTGTTGTTTTTCTAATCCTCTCATTCTTTTATGGATTCTATTTCCAACCTCCTTTCAAAGGCACTTAGGTCACATCTAACATTCTTCATACACAAAATGCTTCTTCTGCATTTCTGCATGTGAACTGTTTTTCCAACTTAATGATTTAGATTTAATGGATGGTGGATGGGGCAAATTACTTTTTGTGCTGGCTTGTTTTAGAAGCTTTTATTTTGTAAGAGCTATCGGTTTACATTGGTTGATTTGTGTCGTATAAGTTAGTGTTCTAAAAAATAATTTTTGTCACAAACTTTGATTGCTTGATCTCCAAATTTCCACCTCTGAGATGTTTTCTAATGTTAAAATCTTCTAGAACACCCTTTAATTCCTATGAAAATCACAAAATTCTAGTTTTTTGAGGTTTTTTGCTCTCTAAAATGTGCTCTAATGGGCTTTAGGCTTCAAATGAACCTAAAAACCACCATTTAATTTTCAAAAAGAACCCAAAAATGCCCTCAACGAGGGGCATTTCCGTCCATGTGCCCTAGCGCCTAGGCAGCCGCCCCGGGGCAGACCGCCTATTTTGGCTGCCTAGGCCAGGGCAAGGTGCTTAGACCCTCTGGATCGCCTAGGCAGCCGTTTAGGCACTGGGCGGTCCGTCATTTAGAACACTGGTATTAGACAAGGAGGGAGATTAATATTAAAACCTTTAGTTTATTAATGGATTACTATTTTACCACTCCTGGTAATTAAAAAAAATTGTACATAGTAATTTTGAAAAATATGCTTTCTCGCAAGGAGATGCCTTTTCCTAGTTTGTTCTTTAACTTTCTTTTTTTTCCTGATAAATTTGTTCTTTGACTTTAGTTACACATGCAGCTGTTGCATTTATGGCTCATATTATATGTATTTGTCCTAACTTTTGATTTTCCTTTCTTTGTTCCCTACGTTACATGGATGCTTTTGTTTGGGTGCTTCCCTGTGTCAAACATGTATTTACATGCATACTGACATTAATTCTTCCACAATCCTCATCTTGGGTACTAGCCATTTGTTCTATCAGTTTAGAGATTTGATCTTCTGTTTTCTTTTGAGTAGACACA